CTGCAATTAAAACCACTGTCACTGATCCTAGATAGGACTCCTTTAGCCCCCCTGAGTTTATTTTTCTCCAACAGATTAAAACAGTCCATTAGGGTAGATTTCAAGTGCCAAACTGTCAATCAGTTTCTGTGACTGTCACACACGTCCTCCCACCACCCGCCCCTCCTAGCGGCTGTTAAATCACATTAACATGCTATCAGATCATCACTCTCAGATTTTTGCATATCAGCAGCTGTTACTCTCTTCTTATTAGTGAGTCTGCAGAGAAAATCTTACAGACAAAATGGAACTGAACCCTGTGGTTATTGTGACTGGAAGTATGCAGGGCTAAAAGTGCCCGAGGGGGGCCTGCAGGTACCATGCAGAAGTCTTTCAGAAAATACATTTGTTATTCAAAGTTGCTGCCCACAAAAAAACCAAAACCAACAACAACAACAACAACAACAACAACAAAAAAAAACCACCAAAAACAAACCCACAGCTGATCTCTGCTCCAAGATGAAATAGTTGTCACTTTTTTTATAGTTTTAATGTCAAAATTAAGCACAGGACAGTGTGAAAGCCTTGTTTAGCCTCACATATTTTCCATCCCATCGCTACGTAGTCAGTCATCCCAGACATACACCTTTGAGTCACGCAGCACAGTGCACCACCAAAAGGTGTTGAGGACAAGGTTTGTCACTGATCACTTTTCGTACAAATAATGCAACCTTTGGTCAGGTACTGCAACAGTTAATTCTTCAGAAGTGTTACATAAGCATAAAACAGGAACAAAAAGTAACACTGCTGTTGTATTATCCCAAAGCTGAACACCCAACTGGACTGAAGGCCCATCCAACTGGCCCTTAGTCTGTGTGCTGCATTCCTTCATGTTATTATATGACCTGAGGTGAGTGTCTTAAGCTGTCTATGCCTCTTCTGGCTCAACTGTAAACTGAGGATAAGGATATTTATTTCTGTAACATTATTTACAATGATGTCTACAGATGATAATCATGATTACTAGTCCATACACTTTTACTCTGCTAGAGCACTTGAGCTTGCCAACCACTGAACAACTTGATTAGCAAATCTTCAGAACATTTTTTAAAACAAAATAAACATGAAGGAATAAACACTGTAGGCATAGGGAATAAACATTTTTAAAATATTGATGTGTTATGATTTCTCTATGTTCTAAGAAATGTATTGTGAAGGATCTTACACGATATTTTAATATTTTCTACTCAGTTGTATGTTTCTTCCAGCTTTCTCAATAGATCAATAAATTCCAGACCTTAACATCCATTTAGCAAATGTTTTCTCTAATGAAAGAAAGAACGTCTCAGGCTCTTTACTGTCTATTTGCTACAACTATCACAATTTCAAATAGCAGGAGCCATCAATACTGTGTATTGGAAAAAGCACAGTATGGAATCATCTGTTTATCACTGTGTTGAGTTGAACAAAGACAGATTATCTGGTGGTTAGGGGGTTGGAATATTAATTAAACATCAAGGCTTTCGAATTAGAACCCCAGATGTTTGATCATTATGGTAATTCCCTGTTAACAGCATTCCATGAAAGGCCTAAGAAACATTCCTCTAATTCTCCAGTGGTGAAAGGTTGAGGACCCTTAGGCTATAGAGCATTGTGCTCCTCTGCATCAATTATACAAGACATGGCCTTTTTAGCAAAAATGGAGCCATCTTATTTAGTGAGCTTTCTGCTAAGGAAGCTCTCAAATAGCTTTCTAGGTAGACAAATGCTTTCTTTACTAACAGGCTTTTCCAAAATGAAGCACAGTGTTCCATGCACAAGTTACTTGCTCTAAATCAAGTCTTAACAGCAACTATTTTTTCAGGGAGTAGTAGCACCAGCATCTCCAGGAAAGTTGCCCTGTCAACAACACTGACAATGTGTCTTCTGTTCTGGACCATCTGGGCACAGAGATCAGACCATCTTCTTCAGCCCTTGCTGAGGAAGTCAGGGCTCCAGCGGAACTACCTCGCAGCCAGTGCTACATGAGTAGCCTTATCCTGAGAAGGTGAGAAGTTGGAACGAGTTCAAGTCATTCTTAGAAAATTACATGGATTTTTTCTAGTTTCCTTTCTACACTACTTGTCAATCTGTATTCCCATGTTTTATAGAAATAACTTCTCCTGAGCCTGTGAATTGATCTCGGAACAATGTCTAATGTTTGCAAAGCCTGCTGACAAGAATGCAGATGCTTCTTTTAACAGCACAAGTACTGTTTGTCATTGTCAGCTCAGCAAGTGTGTTTGGAGATCCACATTAACAGCCAGGTTGCTTACTACCATGGGACATTGTTGTCATACATGTGAACTCCTCAATACACTCAGCTCTTTGCAGCTTGTCATAAATTATCTAGCTCAGAACAATGATAGCAATACCAACACTCCTGTCACCTAGCAGTGATTTACCTCTGATATTTCTTCCTTCAGTACGTGCTCCTACTAATACATGAATAAAACACAACTTCATATATATGCCCAGAGTAACCTAAAGACTTTTCATCAAGCAATTCGCATCAGAGAGGGTAACATGAGATCCAGACAGGATGGAACAAATTATCTGAGGTTCAAGGTCTCAGGTTATTCGTTTACAAGCTTAATCAAAATTGAGTGCAATTTGAAAGAAATTTCAAGTGGAAAGGGGATGTATTTCAATATTTTTCATTCTTTACTAGACGTTAATTTTGCAAGAATTTTCAGTCTTTGCAGGGTGTGACTTCAGAGCAGACATACTGCTGATCTGGACCAGTCATGGAAGATTCTTTCTTCCATTATGTGTACAAGGAATTTATGTGCTACCTCACCTAGTGCTCTATAGAGGGTTACATTCACTTAATGAAAAAGTCTTCTCCAGCAGCCCTCAGTGCTCATATTTAGAGTAAGTGCCCACACATTCCATCCAAATGAATGGAAAATGTCTTAACTTCACAATACCTATATAATACCCCCCCAGATTTTATTTTAAAACCTACTATTTGGGTACCAAAACAGTGTAAGTCTGAACTCAATAGTATTTTCACTATTCATAAGGTTCCCCTAGATTCTAGTCAGGCATGCTGAAAGTCTCCATGCCATGCTCCAGTCAACTGCAAGTAGTCTCTTTATGGGTGCAGCTTTCTATAATTCTTTTCTTTGCTTAAACAGGGATTTTGCAAAACTGATTCAACCACAATCACAGAGAGTCGAGAGTCAATATCGTTCATCAAGCTCTGGCCTCAGTACTAGCTATTTCCACTTACCCATCAGTCTCCCTAGCATACATTCTACCGCATTTCCATAACTCTGTTCAGGAAAAACTTCATTAGTCAAGTTGATGGAAGAATGGAAGGTCAACTTGGAGTATGAACAACCACAATCTCAACAAAGTCCATGGAGTCTTGAACATTAACAGCTCTGTTTGTCACAGTAGAAAGCATGTCCAGAGTTTTCTGGATGTTGCTGGGCCTCACGTTAATATTGACTGTATAGAGAAACAATAATTTTCCCAGAAGAATACTTAAATCTCCTGCTGTGAGAAGCTTTGTGTTTTCAATGGCAGTCAAGAACCCAGTAAAACTGAGCTAAACATATCATTCTTTTATAATTAAAAGAACAATAAAAAGCACTGGAAATGAAGGGGAAATTCTCTCTCTGACAGCACCTCCGAAACAATGCACCAAAAACCTGATGTACCAAAATCAAACTGGTTAGTTATGTGTCACTGGAAATTACAAACTACCACATAGTAAGTTATCCATTCTTCCATACCGAAGGACTTTGTGTGTAGATATTCCAGAGCTGCTTGATTTATGCAGGCTGTGGCTAACTGGTCTTGGGCACCCTAATGGACTGCTGTTACTAATGATCACTGCAAATTAGGAGCATTGTCCTTTTGATCAGACAGTATTAGTTGGACAATATCAAAACATCATATGAAGCTGCTCATGAAGAAGAGACAATACTAGTTAAATCTCCTCATCTGCCATTTCCACTTCTCAAGCCATTGTCATAGTAGATGTATGGAAGCTTATTCTTACTTAATATTCTCCTAATGAGAATATTCATTTGCAATTTAGCACTAAATTAGAATTTAGCATTGCTCAGCAGTGTTTTTCTCTCTTGTCAGAAACCTCTTTGATAAAAAAGATGCTGCTTTGGGCGATGGGATGAAGACAAGGCTGGCACTAGGTTCCAGGATACCATTCCCTGCAGTGAGTATCGGGTCACGTACCAGCAGAAAAATGCTATACTGAAATATTCCAGGTGCTTACTTGGCAACAACACAGACTGTGGACAAAATATTCCCAAATGGAATTCACTTAACGTGGATCAAGGTTATAAATTGTGTACAACAATTACCACAATCATTTCACTCAGATAACTGTTACTTCAGACAATTTCCAGGTATGGTTTATGAACTGAGGTGCTTGATACAAGTTTGGCTTTATTAACTGTCAATTGGCAAATGAAGAGTCACTTTTTTGCCTCGTTTGGGTCTTATACATGCTGCAATTACCTAAATTTTTAGATCCACTGGGTCATTTAAATAATTGCCTACAGCACAGTCCCAAGAAGACTGCAATACTGAATTTTGTTCCGTACAATGGGGAACGAATAGCATTTACAATAGCAAAGCACAACTTTTACTTTGTGGCAGCTCTCACTACTTTGAATTGTTGATTTTGGCATTTAAAACAGATGTCAGTATCAGTTATGATTCAACAATGTGCTTGAATGCACCTTTCTAAACCAGACCTCTCAAGATAAGTTGAGCAGCACAGAGTCTTACTGCACAGGCTGTAAGATTTCCTCTCATCCCCTGACCACCAGAATCTCTTTATACCTCCTGGGAGAGCAAAACAAGACCACCTAAACAAACATTAAGACATAAAATGCATGAATACAAGACAACTCTGTATTTTTATCAGTTGAAGGAAATAAAAAAAATGAAAGTAGGGGAGATCTTAGGGACTAAACTATAAAACATTCCACCTTAATATATCATACCTTCCACTGCTAATTCTTTCCATCTTTCTTTGTTTGCTTGAATGATCTTCATCAAGTTGTCCTTAAAGCTTATTAGGTCTACAGTTGCTAGAGAATTTTCTGTGTGAGTCCCTCCATCACTTTTAAAACCGGGTCGTCTTTGTGCTTCAGTGTTGCTTACTGCTCCCAAACTAATTTGGCTGCAGAAGGGAAAAAAAACCCTAAACTATGAACACAGTCAGACAATTTTAATAATACATAAAAAGTTAATTTGAACTAAATTTCTTAGGAACTACATGCAATCATTAACCCAAAATAATAGTTTTCACCAAAGGGTGTGAAAAGTTTTCACCCAGTAGTGTTTGTGCAACTCTGCTGGCTCAGACACGTCCGTATCGTGGGCTCTCTGCTCTTCATAAGTGTAGCTCTTGCTTGCACACTCAGAAAATAAATCCTTTTATCCTCCACCTCACAATGAGGAAGCCTTATTGAATCATAAGCCTTTGTTCACCTACCAGTCAGTCATGAACATCAACCAAAATGGAAGTCTGGAGCTGCTAACTGTTCATTTATGAAGAAGTTAACAGGCAAAAAAAATTGGTATCAACAAAGCCTTAGTTTAGCACTGCTCCTCAAAACACTAAGAACACTGTTATAAATGCCTACTTCTGGTAACTTTTACTTACCCCTAGTAAATGAAATGTATGTAAACTCATGAACAGCAAAGAACTAAGTTCATAATTTTGCTATTAAAATCTAAGCAATTGCCTTGCACAGTTATCATATCTACCATATCTAGAGTTATCATAGCTAGTTTGTTTTATAGACAGTTTCTTTCGTGATACAAAAATGAAGAGCAACACAATGCCCCTTTGTCCCGCCCCTCCATCTCGCTCATTCTCTATTCAGGTCTCTCAAGTAGAATAAATTTTGTCTCAGGTGTATATATCAAGCAATACTAACATGAAAAGGTGAAGAAGGAAACCGACCTATGGCATAATAAAAATCAGAAAAAACTTGACCCATCTTCACCACGTCCACTTCTAATTGTTTCTCAGAGAGGAAAACATGATTTTTTACACTGTCAACAAAAATTGACAACTGAAAATGGTTCAAGATAAGAGAACTAGGAACTTCAAAAAGCTATTGCAAAGATTGTTGTCAAAGGTGAAAATTTGCTATTAGATGTGCTGTAAAAAATTAACTTTATATTTTATACGTGTGTATTCTGCTCGTTATTGTGGTGGGTTTTTTTGCCTTTTTATATGCACGAGCATTCACAGCCAACGGGAGTAATAGCATATTGCAAATACAGCATAGCACCACAAGGTGGCAATACTGTCCAGCTATTTGTGACTTTCCCAACTGTTAAAATTCCAAGAATTACAATATTGTTTTAGCTTATGTTAGCTCAATAAATAACCAGTGTATTCATACCTGGTTGTCCCAAATGCAGGACTTTCAGATTTTGACGCTTCCTCTATAAGAGGCATAACAATTTTCTCCATTGAGTCCGTAAGAAGAGAAAAAGTTGGTTCTACTATGAAATCAATGAAACCTGAAGAAAAAGAGATAAAATCCGATTTTACGTTCCTGTAGCTCTTAAATATAAAAATAAATACTTTCTATCAGGCTGATTTTCTGACTGTAGTACCAATCCAATACACTACTAGGATAATATTGAAGAAGAAAGCACAACTAAAACCACAATCAATTGAAGCTGTATAGATATAACTAAATAGTAATAATTATAGCTTTTCCACTCCTTTTTATTGCAAATTTTATGCACTACAGAACACACCTAACATTTGAAATTAATATCAATTACTGAATAGAAGGGAAGCTACCACTGAGCTAGGGGACTAGAAGTCATACTGTCTCTTTTACCATTTGGAGCTTCTTGCCAAGGAGTTAATATTTCAAACTGCTGTTTATTATTCTGCAGAGGTAAAGTTTTATTTCACAGTGTGTAGGAGTGTTCTGCCAAATCAGCGAAGAGAACAAGTAATATCCTTAGGAGACAGCATTCATCCCACTATGCTGGCATGTCAGCTCTGAACAATGACTTTTACATTTTAAAGTGCTCATCAAGGCACAGAATGACACAGTGAGAGAATGAAGCATTAATCTCTGCTGAATGCTTAACAGAGAAAAAAAAAAAGCTAAAACATGAGCTAGCAATGGATTTCCAGATGTCTTCACACTCTAACCATGCAGCACAGCACAATGGTGAGCAACAGTGCTTTAGCTTAGGATCCAGCATCCCTCCTGCATTTCAAGTCCCAGTGAAATGGAATAAAGGACATTTTGAGTGACAAGATCAGGCAGAATGACATATTTTAATTCAAGGATAAGACAGTTACCTACAGAATTTTTATTTCCTTATTACTCCTGATGGAAAAGGGGATAGAGCTGTGAAGGTTAAGTTTGGCCACTGTTGACCAAAATGCAATTAGGATTGACAGGAACAGAGTTCAGTGGTCATTGTCAACCCAAGAAGGTTTAACCTTGCGTTGTCTGACTTTGCCATATTGACACTCTCAAATTCAGTCCAGAGGTCTGATGTATGAATTAGTTTTAAGTTGAAATGCCCCTACAAAACAGTACCAGGTTTTCAGATTGTAGTAGCAATATACCTGTGAGTTCTTGAGCAAGACTCAATCTGCCTGAAGACATAATCTACCAAACTACAGTAGAAGTTGGGATCATGTCCAGTACTTTGGTTAATCATTCTCCCACCCCTCTCCTTGACACCACATATGCTGAAATTATGTCATGTTTGAGACCAGCGCATTTCTGCTGTAAGACCATAACAATTCATGAGGAGATAGGTGCAAAGTAATGCCTTCTACATTGTCTCTGCTCTGGGAGTGTCCCTAACCCCAAACTATGACATACATGATGGCATTTGGAACGTTTAAAATTGAAAATGAGTGTAAGAAATGTCCACGTGATTTTACGTGCTCTAACACACACCTGAAAAACACAACTTGTCCTTACCTATTTGGGACTGAGCTACCAAAGTAGACTTGCGGTCACAGAGTGGGGAAAATTGAAGACCTAAAGCAGCCTCCTTATCTCCCTGCAAACAACAAGATTTAATATTATAAGCACATATTTGATGGATAGAAAGTCAAAGAAATATTCTTAGCATTTATTCAACAGGCCATTTTGTTCACTTACATTCCTAAGTAAAAGCAAGTCACAGGAAAAAAAAAAAAAATAAAAAATTCTCATTATTAATCATTAATTTTCAGGAGAAGTAAAACTCAAAATTCTAACTTACATTTGATATTTTTTATATGAAGGAACTTATTGCAAGCAAGTTCTTCTCGAGGAAGGCATCTGCCAATGAAGTCTAACATATATGAAATCCTTCAATATTTAGAGTTTAGTCCTGCTAATCCCAGATGTAACGGCACTGGAGATACTCAGACATGTTTGTAATAGTATGCCAAATGCTAAGTGTTTCCTTCTGCTACATTGGTTTATCCAACATGTAAAATTTCTTCAATGGATTTAAACAGGTCAAGGGCATGGTCTGACTTGAACTCAATCACAGTAGCAGGTATGTTCTCTGGTGCTGAAGCCATACAAAAGCACAAGCTCCATTTCATCACAAAGAAGATTTGCACAGCCTAGTTCTGAAAATATTTCAACACCTAGCACATTAAAAGAGGTTTTTTTTTTTTGTTATAAAATCTTTAAGAGACAGAGGGGTGTAGTTTCCATTTTCAGCATCGTACACAAACTGACCTGCAAAAGCTCAAAAATAAAGTCTAATGGCACAAAAAACCCTGAAGAGATATCTTTCAAAGGAGCCTGTAACTTGTGTTTCTGGACAAACTTGGCTCTCAGAAGCACTTACATAGACATAGGAAAACAGTCTTTCAAGTAAAATGACTCTACATGTTACATTAGTCATGGAGAGTGCTGTTTCATGATCATTCAGTGGGGAGCAGTAGATGAACATACCATTTTACCAAATTTCATCAGCAGCTGATGGATGAAGGGGGCAGTATCAGCTTCCTTAGCCTTTTTTTCATGTATCATTGAACCAGATTTGGGAAAAGTTCAGAACTAAAATACCAATAAAACCATTTCAGCCACAGGAACAGATGCAGCTCACAGATTGTGTTTCATGTGGAAATTGAGAGTTTTATCACTACGGCCTTTAAATTTTACACCCAAGTGTTCATAATTTGACTTCAGAGTGTGGAAGCACACATGAACACTTACTACTAAGAGCACTGATAGTGCCATCTCCACGCAAATTCAGGAGCCAGATTTTGTTGTAATATAAACTGAGGTAGTTCTAACAATTTCAGACATTGTTGAATTCAGGATTTCTAAAGCAATAATTTGTCATCTCCCTCTAACGAGGTTTAAAAAAGAGAAAATTTCACAATAGCAAAGAATCAGTTTGAATTTTTTTATCAAACAAAAATAGTATCTCTTTACTCAAATTATTAATTACTTCATAATTAAGATAGTAAATAAATAACTTAAATATCATATGTTGTAAATTGTAGTAATGAACACAGCACTGATATTTAAATTGATCATTAGAATTTTATGATATTTAAAATTAAGATAAAGACCAAAACAGTAAAAAGAATTCTTTGAGTGCTGAACTCACTGGACAAATCCTCTTTTTGTGCCTTTGGATGTATTCAGACTGAGAGCAGAATGTCATAGGAGCTGTGATACTTCTCTGAGTGACTTGAACTATGTATTTCTTTATTTTTAAGGTTTTGAGATGGGTGGGTGTATTTCTATTTTAAACAAGTAGCTCAGATTTTCCTTGGCATTATAACACGCTTTCTGTAGTTGTTGCTTTTAAACTTAAAGCGTTGTTTGGCTTTTTCCTTGGAGTTAACACTAGCACATATTTTAACTGTTAGCTGCAGTTAAAGTTTTTTTCCTAGGTGAATGTTCATTTTTTGCTAGTGCTCACCACTGCCTGTTATAAAGCTGACTTGTTAAAATATCGGGTTTGCATCATCAGTTTTAGATACAGATGCTTTTTCTTGTAAAGCCGTAGTTGTAGGATTACTATCTTTCAAGAAAAGAAGGAGGAATTAGTGGATTTTGTATACATTTGGACTACTTCATCTTGGCTGACACGAATTTGGAAATTCAAGAGAATTCCACCACAGACTCTCAGATGAACAGACCAGAGGATGCACAACCAAGCCAGCATACCTAGGAAGCAGAAGACCCACTATCTCTGCACTGCTCAGTGCATTTATATATGAGGAGTTACTTCATCACACTCTAAATGTGTTGGAACTACTTCACACACGCTGTTCTTAGTACTACACAGAAAGAGATTCAGTTCCTTGCACACTTCTCTACAGTCTGAAAGACACATTTTATAGTGCTGAGTTGCAGACATAGACACATGGTAATTTGATTCTATTGTTAAATGCCTTCTCAAGTCTTTAAGCAGTTTATTTGGGATCCGGTTACTTCTAGTGAAAGACCAAAGGAGTAACTAAAACATTAGCTGACCCTCTGCTCTCAATGACCAGTGTGGTACTGTTTATTGCTAATATTATAGTTAATAATCCGCTTGACTGGACACATTGCCTCACTGTCCCACGGGCTCCACTTAATTTGTCTCTGTGTGTCTAAAATATTTTTACAGTTGGTAATTTCTCTCCTTTTCAAGTAATGTATATCTGGGGTAGTCTATTCCTCCTTTTTCCTCTTAAGTTCAAAATCCTCATCATTTCCGTTTACAGAAACAGACTTGCAGAAGCAGTCATGACAAACTTGTGATTCTACTCAGCATTTCCACAAAATTCAGTCTGTTTACTATTTAGACTGAGGTGTCAGCTCTCCAATCTATCTCCCCAGTGCAAAGCCCAGTCAAGGATGTCCTGATGCTCCTACTGAGAATTTGTACAAAGAACCTCTAGGAACCAGGCAAGAACACTCTAGGGTTGATGGGGCCTCACAACTTCATGGTTTAACATACTGACTTTTTTATTCTCTGACCCCTTTTTCCAGGGTGACCCATCTGATTTGAAAATGTCGGTATACAGCAAAACAATTACAATCAAGCTGACCAAGACATACACTGTTCCATTGTCTGTATTAACCATTTTTAAAACCTATGTAAAACTGTAGAAACTGTGTAATACTGAAACTGGATTTTCATTACCAATTGCACTTCAGTACACATTATGTTAAAAATGTGCATGGTCACAAATTTTCACTACAGGGAGAGTATTTTTCCTTTTGAGTAATGTATTTTTTTTTTTTACCTGCTGAGATGAGTAAAAAATGGCAGCAGTGACACCAACACCTACTGTTTTTTCTCTGTGAATTCATTATCTCACAGGAATAAAAAGACTTACACAAAAGTGTGTCTTCATTTTTGTTTTGGCATATATGGCCACAGTATTAACAGGCTGATACCATCTAACCTCTGGCTTTGGATCATGCTGTTATGAAAGCAAAACCACTTCAGATCTATGTGGCACATGCATTTGAGTACTGGCAAGGAAAATAAATAGGAGGGCTCTCTGAAACATGAAACAACTTTTTGCCACCTTGGCTGAACATGAATTCTTCCTATTTTCAAGTCCCTCAGCCTACCCTGCTGGTGCTTCTTTTCAACTCAAAGCTTATATAAATCTCTGTCTACAGAATGAAAACAGCTTGACAAGTTATATTATAGTTGAAAGGGAAAAAAATGCCACAACACTCAGAATCTTGGTATCAGCTGAAAAAGATACAGAGGTATAACAATTTCATCTTATTCATGCACATAAAAGTTGAATTAATGTCAGTGGTATGTATGAAGAGTAAGGAATATATACTACTGCCTATGCTTGTCAATCACAACTAACAGCATCCTTGCTGGTAGACTTATGAGAAGATTTAATTGTGTAACCATTGCTTCTTGAACTAGACTTATGAAAAGATTTTAAAAATGGCACCTGTCGAAAAAATTCTTCCATCAGGGCCATGGTCCACCGGTAGTGCAGTTCCCAGGATTTTGCTGGATGGCTTATGTCTGCTGCATGTAGAATCAAAGACATGGCTTTGGCTTTGTCTACCCTGTCAATTCAAGGACATGCTCCAATTATCTCAAAACAAAAGCAACCATTTAAATTCTTTTCTTGTACATGAGCTCATTGAAAAACTATAGATAACGAACAGAACTGAAAACAACCTACCCCTCTGTCTGCTGTAGAGTATGCCGCATCGTTTTGATTTGTTGGAAATGACCTGACATATCTGTAGACAAGACCATCTCAATGACCAAGCTACGCAGCTCCCTAAAATTAAAAGCAAAACAACTGATTACTATTCATTTATTCTATGTATGGTACATTTGTTTAAACAGCACTTGTTAATTTATAACTTTCTAAACAACATCACAGGGTTTATTACATTTTAGAAAGCATTTAAAGAAATTATTAACAACCTGAATGTTGCTTTCTAAAGGGATTCTGTGAAAGCAATGTGCTTCAGAAAATGCACACTGCAATCATTAGTTCAGAGTCATATTGTTTTGTAATTCCTCCTTCCTTGTGTATAAACTAAAATTACATGCAGTTCTGTCACCCATTATAGGTCTTTCCTTATTTTTCCAGCACTAGATTATGCAAAAAAAAAGTTGGTCTCTGGGCTTACCACCACACAAGAGGATGTACTTGTGTCTTTTATTACCAACCTCATATTAATGCAGAACAGGCATAACACTAAACCTAGGAAGAAGGCTGTGGCAACACTCAGAAGAGCAAGAGGTATTACATCTGAAACACCATCAACATTACACCAATTTATGAGCATTATGACAAAATACCCTTCATCTCAAAAATGCCTGAATCCCTGTTTCACGAATCAGAACAAGTTTAGGATTTATAATTTATCTATATCTTGGTGTTATGGTCAGATATATTGGTTTGTCCATCAGCTTTCTCTTAAATGAATATGAAAATAGTAAAACATGAATCATGTAAGAAAGTGTATTAATTCTGACTGCATATGAAAGTACATTAATTTTGTCAGCAATAATCACTTATTTGGAAAATTCTGTTTCCTCGATGTAGAAGGATTGCATACAGACCATGTAGGTGTCTACTGGGTCTTTATTTACATACTTTTTAAATGGCCTAGGAGGATTTATGTGCAAGCACTTATATGTATGTGAGGGACAATTCATCACATTAAATCTTTGATTATATAGCATATCACTTAATGAGCACACCTTCAATCTTAAGGATGTCCAAGTGTTAATTACAAAAATAGATCCTACCTTAGTCATTCTCAATGGTCTTTCATGTTGCATTCATATCTTTGATTTACTTAACAATGCAGCTTTTTTCAAGGGACTACGTTTTAAAGAGGTAAATTGCAGTTTTCTTTTGGGCTGTTAGAATAGTTTGTTATAAAAACTATCGACTACTTCTAAGCCAATTTAACTGCATATTTATGCTGACATTCCTCATTGATTTTTGTCATTTATTCCTGATTTGACTTAATGTAACTGGATAAAGACTCACTCCTCTCACTTTTACTCAATAATATGCAGCAATCTGTGTTCAGCAAATGCCTTACCTTATCTGACCTCATAATAAGGTACAAATTAATTTGCATCCCGACTGTTTTTCTTCCACATTGCCTTGAAACTGTACCCTTCAAACACAGCCAAAGCCATTAAAAAAAAACCAAACAGCTAACAGTGCATGAAAACTGATGGCTCTGTGTTTTTAAACCTTGTTGTTTCCAAGATTGAAATTATTATCACTTCCCCTTTCTATCAGATATTTTCCTAGGAACTTTCTATGTCTGAACTTTTTAGAGTAATCAGAAATAAGCTCACCGCTGCTACACAAGACACACAGAAACAAAATGCTGCTTTCAGTTTATTCACACTGTCACAGCAGCAGAGAAACCCTCTTACTTCCACCACCTGAATAAGAATCAAACAATGTAACACTGTCCTCACACACTTCCAGAGATTCAAGGCTACTAAAAAGTTGTTTAACAGCAGAGAGGCTCTCCATCTACAGTCTGCAGTTGTTTCCTGCCTGCACCCCCATCTTTCATCAATAGAGAAGTGGAAAACTGAGAACTAACAGCAAAACATTAAATTAAGCTTTACTAAAGTTACGAATGCTTAGTCTACTACCATTGCGTGGAAGATTATTCTTGGACTTAAATAATTCCCAAATTGTTTCCAAGGGAAAAAAGACCACCTCAACTTCCACACTGAAGGAGATGTCAGCTGATCTTGTAAGTAACTCCTGGACAGAAATCTCTGCCCACTTCATTAAGCAGTCCACAGCTACAGGCATCCCGATAGTCCAGTCAGTATTGCTCACACTACCATGGCAAATAAAAGATCCATAGGTATCATTTCCGTTAGTTCTATGATGGGACGTGGTAACAGTATTCATGTACAGTGCTGGGCACTTTCTTGAGGCCCACAATTGGAAGATTACTGGCTTTGAGTACACAATGTCTGTTTTTCCTTAAGTAAACCATCACGTCCTGTGCTGTCATCCTTTCTTGACTCTCCTATATCCATATGTCCATACGATGGGATACTATAACAAATACATGCAAGATGATGTGAAAAAAATGACATGAATAATGCTGTAATAAACAAGAGACAAGGAGTGGCACATGAAGTTTTCAGAAAAGTAGTTAATCAATAAACAGAAACCACCTTTACCTAGATTCATCCATGACAAAAACATTTAGTCAGTTAGAAACTAATGAAAAATGCAAGAACAGGCTAAGATGAGCAAAAGCAAGTGTGGAACTAAAGACTTAAGGTTCATCTGGCAAGTTACAGCAGTCTTGCACTCCTCAGAGAGAAGACTTCCAAGGGAATCTGTGAAAGAAAAGCTGTTCATTATGCACTGTGTATAATGCATATTCTTTTGTTAGTCTTTTTTATATAATCAGGCAATGTATAACTGTATGCCTTCTGGCTGGACTGGTTTGAGACATTAATACCTCCTGATTCCCTGTTATCTCCCTGTAACTGCTCACTGTGGTGGTAGAACACTAGAAGCCTGGTAAATCAAAGGAGAAAGAGGGACAGAAAATGATCCCTTCTTAGTTACTTAGGGGTGCTAAGTGAGAGAAACAAGACAATCTGAAAGATGGAAATATATCTTCAGAACTGAAAAAAGATTGAGAAATGACTATGTATGTCACTTGCATTATCCACAGAGGATATCCTTATCAGAATGCTGGCAGTGTTTCCCTCAGACCCAAATTCTATGTTCTAAACTTCATTGAAGCTGACAGTTTATTAGTGCATTTATATTCTTAACATTAACATGTAGAAAAGAAGATGTAATACTATAAAATAATCCTCAGTCATTTTGCTTCACCTTGTTGAAATCACTGCAACTCCAGGAAACAGATATGGCAGTAGTCAAGAAATTAATCAGTGCCAGGAAGTACATAAAAAAGTTGAACAAATAATCATTTCAATTTACTGCCAATTTGATTCAATGAAAACTTCAAAACTGTTAGTCTAACAACATGAATTTCAGTACAGAACCAAGAAGTTTGCTCTAGTAAGAATTAGAAAATTGAAGAGCTTCTTTTAAGCAGCTAACACATTCATCATTGCAGCAATGAACAACTATATTTGATGACAGGGTAGCAGAAGTTTTTGGAAACGAATACCAGGAAACAATTTCCGTGACTGACCCTCTAAATCCAAGTCTCAACAGGTTTTGCAGTTTCTCAGACTAGCACTTTGGAGTTTACTGGTTTGTTTGAAAGTACAAACTGTAATTGCCTGCTAAGTGGCGAAACATGGAACCAGGTGTCCTAGTTTAGTTGCCTGAGCTTATTAGTTAGTTCATACATCTCTAAGTTGTACTGAATAGCCCCAAATGTACTATCATAAATGCTACCTTCTCTAGTTGCCAAATCCCACCAACTTCAAACTGGCTGCATATAATCATAGAATCCTTTAGGCTGGAAGAGACCTTTCAGATCATCAAGTCCAACCATTAAATGATCCAACCAGCTGGATCTGTCCAGCCACTCTATACAAAAAAAGAAATTTGCAAAACTTAAATAAGATCCTCCAGGAAATTCTAATTGTGTTACAGTGAGAGAAGATTGAAAAGCAACTGCAAACATATCCAGTGTGTGATTAAGCAACTTCTGAAGGAATGTGGTTGTTTATCACAGGTTCAAAAACCATGGAGAAATGCAGTGCAACAGAAGTTAGAGCAAAGGGTCAATAACTGGACTGGAAAAAGAACTGTGGGAAGACCAAACTGAGCAATCTATGCAGGGAAGAGTGTGCTTCAGAAATGTGAAGAGCATCTATCACATAGAATGTCTGGGCTGGAAGGGACCTCCAAAGGTCATCTAGTCCAACCCCCCTGCAATAAGCAGGGACATCTCAAACTAGATCAAGCTACTTAAAGCTTCATCCAGCCTGATCTTGAATGTCCACAGGGATGGGGCCTCCACCACCTGTCTGGGCAACCTGTTCCAGGGATTGGTCACTCTCATACTGAAGAACTTTTTCCTAACATCTAACCTAAATCTCCCCTTTTCTAGCTTAAAGCCATTACCCCTTGTCCTGTCACTACAAACCCTTCTGAATAGTCCCTCCCCTCCTTTCTTGTAGGCCCCTTTCAGGTACTGGAGGGTCGCTATAAGGTCCCCCTGGAGCCCTCCTCTCCTCCAGGCTGAACACCCCCACCTCCCTCAGCCTGTCCTCACAGCAGAGCTGCTCCAGCCCTCGGAGCATTTCTGTGGCTCTCCACTGAACACGCTCCAACAGCTCCACGTCCTTCTTGTGCTGGGGGCTCCAGAACTGGACACAGGACTCCAGGTGAGGTCTCACGAGGGCAGAGCAGAGTGGCAGGATCACCTCTCTCCATCTGCTGGCCACTCTTCTTTAGATGCAGCCCAGGATTCCATTCGCTTTCTGGGCTGCTGCTGCACATTGGTGGCTCATGTCCAGCTTCTCATTTACTAGTACCCCCAAGTCATCTTCCAATGGGCTGCTCTCTAGCATGTCCTCTCCCAGCCTGTATTGGTAACGTTGGCTGTCCCTCCCCAGATGCAGGACCCTGCACTTGGTCTTGTTGAACATCATGACGTTCCCCTGAGCCCACCTCTCCAGCATGTCCAGGTCCCTCTGGATGGCCTCCTGTCCCTCTGGCCTGTCAACTGCACCACCCAGCTTAGTATCCTCACCAAGCTTGCTGAGGGTGCACTCAATGTCACTGTCTGTGTCATTGATGAAGATGTTAAACACTGGTCCCAGTACAGACCCTTGAGGGACACCACTTGTCACTTTTGCTCAGCTAGATGTCGAGCCATTGACCACAACTCTCTGGGTGTGGCCATCCAGACAGTTTCTTATCTAGTGAACAGTCCACCCATCAAACCCATATCTCTCCAACTTAGAAAGGAGGATGCTATGGGGGATGGTGTCAAAGGCCTTAGCAAAGTCAAGATAGATGATGTCCACAGCTCTTCCCTTGTCCATCACTCCCTATATTCTTTTGCAGTCCACCAGAGCAATATGTATAAACATCACATACCTGGAAAACCTCCTTCCATTGGGAAATACTTTATTTCACAGGAGTTTCCATCCTACCCCTCTATTCCCCAGTGACATAACAGAAGGGAATGATAGAGATGCAATGTACTAGCTGGCAGACAGATTGGCACGTTGCTGCAGGGATTCCCAAACTATATACAGTGGTTTCCAGTGATGAAGAAGCCAGGACTGGGGATGCACATAAGTGTCTTCACGACATCTGTGGTTCAGTCCTGAAATTTAAGTGATTTAACTTCCCTTTCTACCTGGAAGCATTCTCTGGTAGGACACAGCATGAAACAACAACACTCAAAAAAACCATACAGAAAACAACGACTCTGAAGATTTGAAAATCATTACCTCTCTACAACGATGCTTTCAAAAGACAGAATACCAGCCTCTGATGCCTGTCTACTGGCACAAGCACTTTCTCCACACTCAATAGCTAGGACAAACAAAAATACGGTCACAGAGACCTATCAGCCCCAAAACTATCCAGGCTCAAAATAGTTCCAAACAGAGCAAGGCTGACTCATGTTGACAATGAAAATCCAGGTGCATATGACAGTTGCTGCTGAAGTTTACAATTTATTTCCAGAGATCTTTCTCCAAAACTAAATTCACAACACAAACTTTATGATAACTAAATCCAAATGAGTATCTCTTCTGCCAATGACCAGGCCCAACAAAAATGATACAGCCAGCAGGAAGATGAACCAATACACAGACTGTATTGTAAGTAAAAAGGACATTCCATGAATGATCACTGGGGGTACAAACAGATCAATCAGCTGGTACATAATTGATGCCACCCCCAATGATCCGACAAAAGACATAACTCGGCCCACAACGGGTGGTATAAACAGAGAACTGAGGTTTCTCATAGCTGGCGGAGGAAACAGCCAGACCAGCCAGTTAAACATATAAGACAAAGGTGCCCACATGGCGACTCTCACCTGATCGACCCGCGTTCGCAAAGGGCTAAACAGACCAGGGCCCAGCTCCAGGGAGAGTCAGGAGGCCTGCCCTGAACCAGGAAGCTCGGGGGAGTGCACTCCACAGACAGACACTCCTGACTCCCTGCAAGTGGTCCCAGCTTTTATCCCCAAGCAGACCCCTGACCTTTGTCAACTCAGTGCGGGACCCCTGGGGCTCATTTCCCTTCTGGCTCTCCCTGCCGGGCCGGCCGCACCCTGGGGGGAAGCTATAAGGCAAACTCACCACCTCTGTATGAAGGGCTGGGGAATCACCCATATGGCAACCTTAATTTGGGGGCTTGGGGTTCAGACACCAGCGTTTCAGCAGCCTCTGAGAAGAAATCTTTTATGAGAACAAAAAAGTGTATGATTCCCCTCTCACTTTGTCTTAAATAAAAAATTAAAAATACTCTAACAGTAAGTGTTTTGGAAGTAGCTACAAAAAATAATAAATTGAAAACCAAAGGGGTCAGCAGACTCACATTCAATAAACAATTTGTTTAGGGGTGTTCTGATCATGTAGATAAGTAAAATCATGTAAATATACCATGTAAAACAGTCCATCTGTAATATACACACCAAGACTTGATCTGATATTTATGGATCGCTTCAAAAATGTATAGTTTTGTGAAAATATAAATAAAGCAGAGTACAGCTGTATTATTCAAGGTGGCACCATTGACAGTGGGAGACTTTCCTGGAAGCAGAACATCCCTCTCTGACTTCACAGTCCACCTATTTAAAAGTTATTTTTAACATCTCTGAATAACAGCCATGTTTACAGAAACACACAGAAGACTCATATTTTAAGTGCTATATGCAGCGTCCAAAGATATACAAGGACAACAAGTCCTTTCTAATAATGCAGAATGTCTTCTCTCTAACACTGGTCCATTTTGGTCTTACAGGTTTTAGTATTTGTGACATTTCAGTTATGATCCTGATTCTTTCAGCTGGTCAAATTTTCTTCAGGAGCTACACTAAAATTAAGAAGAACTAAAAAAAGATATTTCTGTAGTTCTAAGCCTTTATTGTTTTTAGGCTCTGCAGATAATTTATTTTTTAATGTGTGTGACTCTGCACAGCAGTTTTAACCCACTGTTAGGCAAAGGTAACCCAGCTCAAGAGGGGCAGGACTGAGATTTTCCTGAAGAGCTGTCTCACCTGAGACACTGTCCACAGTCCAACACTGTGCCTCATAAATACACAGCCTCACTTGGAAAAGTTAATGGAGTCTTCCAAACAGTACTTTTTTATATCACAGTAACCTTCCTTAACCTCTAAATAATCACTACTCCTTCCAGTGCCAAAGTTTCTTCCTGTAATTTGATTTCTTAAAATAGACTCCATAGGGAAAGCCTGGTGGTTCTTATTATTTTTAAATACTGGAATGAAGTTTGATTGTCACAGAAGGTCCTACCTCCAGTCATCTTTGGTTAAATTTGCCAGGATGTTCATCTCTTCTTCTTGCATGAGTCTATAAGCAGCACTTACATGATGATTTTCAAGAACAGAACGATCATTGTACAATATTGCAACATCAGACCTAGTGATAAAAAATAAAAAGGCAGCATTTGCAACAGCATCCTGATGATGGTACTGGGGAAGGTAGGACTGTGTACTCTCTATGAGAACTATTGACTATATATACCAAACTATGCTTATTTTTTCCTCTTGTATCAAATCCTGATGAAGTTTCCATCCTAAATGCATAAAAATTAACCACTGTATAACCATTACATATACTGTTTGCAGGAAAGTCATATTTTTAAACATGTAAAGTTTTATTTATATAACTGTGACAAAAATTTGTGAAATCTTTGAGCTTCTTGACTGTAGATAGGGTTGTAGAGTAACAGAAATGTTCTAATTAGGCTACTCAAGAGTACCCTTTGCCAGTACAACCATTTAAAATGCATTACATTCACCAACAGAGGGGGCTCCACACATATAGCATGAGTATTAAGAAGTTATGACCCCTGTTCTGAGAGAGATGTGCTTTGGCCCATGTCAGTCATAACCAGGAAGAGCTGTAAATAATAAAATATTTAAAACCTTCTATTTCTTCTGCCTTAAAAGGATGCTACCTTTTGTCAGAAAAACAGACAAACCTTGAGCCTCATAACAATGGAATGGAAGAGACGCTAAGCTGAAATTTGACTGCATTCAAGTGCTTTCTTAAGCCAGACTCTTACCATAACATTAATATCCTTTCCCTCTTATTTAAAGACTCCTCTACAGTACTAAAATTGCATATAGATTTTCAAAAATTTTGATGCGGTATGGATGTACCACACTTAGCTTCAAAAGTCATTCATTCTTGGGGAATTTTTTTCCCCAAGATTTGATGTGACTTGCTAAGCAACTTCAGGTCTCACCTCTCTGCTACACTTCTGTTCTGGTAAAGCTATTCCTAAGTATTTCAATTTAGTCAACTAAAAAGTCTGTACTAGAGGAAAGATGTGATGACTTCGCAGCACAGCTTACTATGGTATCAGGAAAGTAAATTCAACCTCTTCTTCTGTTGAGCAATAGTATATATTCAGTGTAAACACACACATTTACAGTATGGTACCAAGGAATCTAAAAAATGAAAAGAGGATTGGAAACTTTGGCAACAAACCACAACCCACCTAAATAATGAATATGTCTACATCCATAATGCTACTAAAATCATAGGAAAATCGGTGATTTTTCAACCACATATGTTTATGAAGCACACTTTGATCTACATAGCTACTTTGTGCTACAATTTGCTATGACTCTGACAGCCATTTAATCAGCCTTTCTCAGGCAAAAGAAGCCTGGAATCATGGCCCTGGGATGCCACATCAGGGCCAAGTTCCACTAGAAGAGAACAATGATCTCCATCACAGATCAAATACCTGTTGCAAGAAAGTACAAGTAAAATTCAAAGGCTAACAGCTTGATTAATTTTCCATTTTTGCAATACTCAGAGCAAAATATTAAGGACAAAAATAGAAAAGTAATATAAACTTGGCACTACAAGCTGAAGTTTATTTTTAGCCAGACTATGCTGAGGGAGAAAAGAATTACATCTTTATTTCAGCTGCAGATCCAAAATTTTTTCATTATTGAAGGCCACATCTCAGGGTACAAGTATGTTATGGATTTAACTTAAATGTAACCCTTAGGCACTTAACTGTATTGCTGAGTGTGAGGATGCTTATGTTCAGAGTAGTAGTATTTCTATCACAAAGCTGTTTTGTTAGAATATGCCAGTGCTTTGCTGAAATTTTTTGGTCAAGAGCAGATAAAGTGGACTCCTCAACCAAGCACACTAAAACCAAAGGATAGTCTAGTGTGGAAGAACAGTAAGATGCTTTGTTAAGTACCCGATATACCATTTGTTATCCAGTAATGGACTGATCAGCAATTCTCCTTTGATAAGCTGAAAATATATCTTTTTCAGGGAGAGCAGTATATGCTGTTGTTCTGGACCAGAGGCTAGGATGACACAATGCACCTGCATGAGAATACAGTTAGCCTGACCTTCAAACCAGATTTCTTTTTCATAACTACTGCAGATGCTGTCAAAACATGACAGGAGTGGACTTATGGTAGGTATTGTTAAAGCTGTACATAAAGATTTCTCCCTCTCTACTAGGACTCTATAAGTTTAATAAGCAACTTGAATTGAAAAATGTATCACCTGATATAAGTACAGACAAATTGCTGAAAATTAAGTGTTATTTTTGTGGGGACACTGTGGAAGAAATATTTGAGTTGAAAGTTATCAGAATTTAAGTGAGCAAATAGAAGGGTGAAGTGATTTCAAGTTTGTGTTCTGAATTTTTTTGAAATCTCTCTTGATGCATGTAGCTCCAAAATATGATTTCAAACACTGTGGAGCTAACTCAGGACTTTTCCACACTGTTTTTGTTCATGTGAGCAGTCCCATTAACTGTGCAGAGGTCAAAGAAGAAATTTGTAAAATCAGGAATGACCTGGCTACCTCCTGGCTGTATCAGTAAGAAGTATGAAACTGTTCAAAATAATGAAGAACAAACTTCATATATGACACTTAAAAGACCACTTTGCTTACCTTGTCTGAATATGAAAATTGTTTGTGGTCCCAGTATGTTCATAATCATGGATGGCAGCTGCAAAGATCATTGCTAAAATTTCCAGTTCTGTGAGCCAGTGCTAGTAAACAAAAATCAAATCTTAGTCTTATTTTCTGCAACAGCCTAACTTAAATGAAACCCTACTATACTAGAAATGGTTTGCATTACTTTCAACTTAAGTAAACTTTGTTCTTGTCTTTTTCCAGGTAGCTATGTATCCATAACACATTTCAGTATGATACAATAAGTCCTTGTACTTATTATGATTTCTTTAAGAACAAGTTAACATCCTTATGGTCACTAGCAAAGTAAATAATGGCAGCCAAATATATAAGAAGTTATTACAATCATTACGTGGTACACTTTGTAGCTGATTTGAGCAGGAACTATCTAATCTGCTAACCCATACATGGCACTTGCCATTTTATAGTATATTCATCTAAAAACGTGATATGAAGGTAAGGTTATAATTTGTATTTAGTGAATAATATATACAGTTCATATCAAATTCTACATACAACATTAGCATTAACTATATTTTACCAGTGTACATAGCACTAAAATTGGGCCCATGGGAGATTTTTTCTGTTCTATAATTTTATCATACTTTATATTAATGCAAAAAAAAAGGGTGCATAAGAAAAGGTGATACAGGTCATGTATACAAAATAATGCAGATCCTGGGGTTTTGTGCACTTTTATACCTCATGCAAACCAAGGCTGTTCTGTATCGCTTGATTTATAAAATAACCCCCATTATTTCATCTTTCAAGTTCTATTTCTTGAATGATAAATCATTCTGGAGGAGAAAATTTACTCCATCTAAAAATGGGGGCAGAAAAATCATATGACAATTAACCCCCACAGTCATAGGACTGATTAAGTTAAATGCCAGTCAAGCATTTCCATACACATTACAGATTTTTTTTTTTTTAGTGTAGAAGTAAGTTTCTATACTAAAGGCTCGAAGAATGATCTGAGAAGAAGGGAAACAGTCAAGATTCATAAGTAATGCGAGAATGATGAAATGGGTCATTCAGCGACAAAACAAGACGGACGAGGAACAACAAGTACTGGCTGTTGGTGAAGCACTATAGATGAAAAAAGGTCACAACAGCGGAATGAGAATGTACTGTAAGCAGTTCTAAAAAAGGAAACAATGACCTTCACCATATTGTGTGTCAGAAGAAACCAGGCCATGACCAGTCCTGGCTTTCACAATGTTTTCAACATACCAAGTAGAATAGAAATTATCAGAAACTGAAGTGAAACATAAAGTTTTTCTTTAAGACGTCTTTTCAAAGTAACAAAAATAGTTGCTAGACAATGCATTTATAAGGAGAAGAGCATTCCTTACAAACAGTATCTATGGGCTACACAGAAACCTCACAGGGTATTATATGAGAGCAAGTATTCCAGAGACTAGCTGTACAGGCAAAATTCAGATCAGTATTCAAACCAGAGAATCAGAGAACTTCTTTAGCTAGAGGATTTCTAAGGAAGTAGGAGAAAGCTTTTAGAGAGACAGTTAGCAAGTGTTTTTCTCAAAGGGAGAGGAAAAAGTAGGTATCCGGAGGTCTGCAAGACTGCAAAGAGCTGGAGCCTGCTTCTCTTCTGGAAGATCCTATGCCACGCAGGTGTAACACCTATTGGAAAAGATGTCTCCTATTGAGAGATGTTTTCCAGTATTATAAATGGCTTATAAGTAAATAGATTAATTTCATCTTTTCATGAGCTCTGGTTCAAACTATTTTTTAACAATGATGGATTAAACAAAATGAGTAAGAAAGGGAGTCTCACAATTTATTGCCACTAAAGACATTTTTTCCTCTAGCTTGAGCAATACAGGTATGTGGGAGGAGAAAAGGGATGGTGGGAAGATGATCGATGACTCAAAAGTTCTTTATAAGATGTATTCCCTGGGACTTGGATTCTTAAATCTTTATAAAGATGAAGACATCATAAATGCAAGCTTGAGTTACATATATTTCAGTCATATCATCTGGGATTTAGTCTCTTGGGAAGGCTAATAGATTGTGTGCCATCTGTGATATCTAACACATTGATCTGAGGTTGCTGGATCTTGTCTTTTAAGATAGTAACTTTTGGAAAACACAGTGATCATTTTATTTCTGACTGCAACTTTGAATATGTGTTATTCTTCACTGGAATCTCTCTGAAGGCTTGTGGAGAAGCATAAGCTCTGAACTGCCAAATTTTTTGGCAAGTACTGAAATGCAGCTGTTTTCCAGGTGCCCATAAAAGATACAAAACGTATGAAATCAACAACAGGAATCAGGAACAGGATTGTTTAAAACCCAGCTTTTTGAAACATTTGCTTCAGTATGTCTTTCATAAGTAAGTGAACACAGGAGACAGCAATTCTTTGAAAGATTTGAGAGTCAGTTAAGTTCCTTAACATCCAATGAAAGCATAAGAACTTCAAATCACATTCTGATCTGCAAAAACCAGAAAGGAATTCCATATAGAATTGCATCAAATTGACCTAAATCCAGGTATTTGTGAGAAGATAGAGCAGAGTTAAAAGAGGCATTACAATAGTCATATTCTAAAAATCACTAGGTTGAGAAGTAAGCTTCAGATTGTTATTGGGTAGGGTTCTGTGAGGCTAACTAGGCAACGGGAAAAAAAACAACAAGTTAAACAAAACATTTGCATGATACTGTGTTCTCAAACTGCAAATGACATGTGGGACAGAATTGCTTTGCAAGCTGCAGAATCACTAGGCCCTCTTTAAAACACGGAATCCTGTAAACGTTTCTTCTGCCTGCCAAGCTACATCGGTTTGAAGGCACTCTTGATCAAGCGTTGTCCTACTTAGATATTTTTCCAACAACTTTCTAACATCATAATTCAGCAATTCAAATGTGAATATTAAAAGCTGGCCAAATTTTTAGGAACATTCTGTGGCAGCATTACAACAGTAACAATGTTTTAGAGCAAAGTTACAGCAATAAAGTCTAAGCTTTTCTGAAAACAGTTGTCCAAATCACAACAAATGCAGTTACAAGGTTAAGATGCTAATATTGTTAAGCTTAAATTGGAGAGCTCTTCTCATCCTCGTGTGCACCTGGTAGAATAGCAGATATTCAAATAGGAAACAGGTTCCCTCATTCAGTGTTCAGAGAGACACAAAATGTGTTGCAAAGCTGTTTAATCAATGGCTAAATATCCAAAACTGTCTAGGATAATTCCGCATATTATAACATTGTCCTGTCATCACAAAGGAAATCTGGATGCTGTTGTCTTTTCTGAAGGGCAGAGGGGTACAGTCATAATGAGCTAAATGGATGTCTATAGTGTGTAATACAACAAAGGGATTTTCCCTTGTGTTAAGTTGCTGAGCCAGGTGTACACCTGCAACAAAGACCTCTGACATCACTTAACTCTTGCACTTGATCTCATAGCAGAAGACAAAAGTAGGACAGGAACCATGATCCAATCTCTTCAAGCTGCCTTTTTTTTTTTTTTTAAATATTATTTAGATAGATGAACATCATAAACAACAACTTTGGAGTCATCTTGGCAAGAGCTGTCTAGCCTATGCTTCATTCTGATATGGAAGTCCTTTCTCAAGAAAGCATGTCAATGTGAAAAGGAATCTTTGCTGGTGAATTCTCCAGGCTTCACTCCACAAGCAGTATTTGTGTGATGCTTAGAAGAAAAACACTTCCTTCAAACAGTAAAATCAAAACCTGCCATGCCTAGAGACTTGTTCATGTCTCCACTGAAGCCAGAGGCAAAGCTTTCAGTGAGAAAAGGCTTAATGTTAAGTGAATGACTGTCATTTATTGTGCATATATTGCAGCATAAACATCTAGAGTCAGCTCTAAAATGTGCCTTTCCAAAAGTCTTACAAAATTGTTTCATAGTTCTGCAAACAAAAAAAAAAAAATCAGACTCTAACACTTCCCACTTTTTTTTTTTTTTAAACAAATGTATTCCTAGTTAAGACAAATCATCAAATGGCCATTGACAGAGGTGTCACTTTTCTTTCAGTCAGTATTTACTTTTGTCTAGCAAGCTGACAGTGAGGAGACTCCTACTGTTGGTATCAAATCTAAGATAACTGTTTAGAGTACATGCTTGTGCAGAGTCACTTCGGTTCCGAAAGCAAATACTAAAAAATACTGGGATATTGCAATAGTGCAAGGCAAATGCAATCTCCTGCCTACTGTAGGCACATATAGTGCACGAGCAGTCCTAAATAAGGTTATAAACCAGAAGAGAAAGCAGATATTTGAGTAACTCTACACTGTTTCAGTACCTCTTTCAATGGCCAGGACCTCAACAGACACTAAAGCTTCCGTGCCTGATCACACCTCCCAGGCTCTGGTGTGGAAGTGAAAAAATCCCCCCTGCCCACTCCTGCGAATATAGCTCCTTCAGCGCAATATATAATAACAAGCCCAGCAAAAAGGATTAAGGAGGATTTTTTCTTCACTTTTTCCTCTGCACCAGAAGAGTTCAAGTCTAGAACAAGTGTTAAAATGACATAAAGTTCACAGCCCAAAAGGTAGTTTGGAATCTCTCTTTGCACAATTTTAAAGGGAGCTTTTTCCTTAAGAAAAGACACATGTACACTTTTATCTAAAACAGCAGAATCTGAGAAAATAAATAAATTCGTCTTTGCAGTATTTCTTACCATGATACCAGTGTGAATCATTATGTAATGCACAGTTTGAGTAACATCAGCTGCATGGATCAAATTGTGATACGGATTTTTGTATTTGCTGTAACCAACTTCAAGAGCTTCAGCAAATGAAATAAGATTGGGAACAGGGATCTAGGGGGAAACAAAAATTAAAAGACATGGTTTTTTTCCCACAATGGCTGCAAAATTAGCCATGCAATAAATGAAACCACAAATAAGTATAACATAGAATTTAGTTAACCACAAAAGAAAAATTTAAAATCCAAAGGTCTGATATCTTCCATGATTCCATATTTTCCCATTTTTCGTGCTTTGGCTGGGGTAGAGTTCATTTTGTTCATGGTAGCTGGTATGGGGCCATGTTGCAGATTTGTGCTGAGAACAGTGTTCATAGTACAAGGGTGTTTTCATTATTGCTGAGCAGTGCTCACGCAAAGTCAAGGCCTTTCCTGCTCCTCATATCGCTCAGCCAGTGAGTAGGCTGGGAGTGCACAAGAAATTGGGAGGGGACACAGCTGGGACAGCTGACCCCAACTGACCAAAGGGATATTCCATGCCATGTGACATCATACTTCTCAATAAAAATAGAGGCAAGACAGGCAGGAGGGCTACTGCTCAGAGACTGGCTGGGCATTGGTCTGCTGGTGACGAGCAATTGTTTTCATTTGCACCACTCATTTTTCTTGATTTTTTTTATCTTTGTTATTTTCCTCTTTTTTTTTACATTTATTATTACTACATTTTATTTCAATTGTTAAACTGTTCTTATCTCATCTACTAGTTTTCTCACTTTTACTCTTCTAGTTCTCTTCCCCACATCCTTCTGGGGGCAGGAAGTGAATGAGCAGCTGTGTAGTGCTTAGCTGCTGGCTGAGCTTAAACCACAACACCCATATAATGAAATTACATTTTCCTTAAGATTAATTTCTTCATTTAAAAGCTCCGCACGGTAAACACTGGGACTGAGAATGGGTTTAAGCCCACTGAGCCAGTAACACTGCATACTTTCTGACTGTGTTGTTAATGGTAGCCCTGGTGTGGTTTTGACTTCAAGCATCCAGAGCTTGAAGGGAAAAGCTTGATGGGAAAAGCTGAGTCTGGGTTATCAGTTAAAAGTAAAATATTCAAATCAACTTCAGGGTGAGGCAGGGTCTTCAAAATGAGCACGGAATTTTGCAGTGGAGACATTTTGTAACTGTAACAAAAATTTCATCTGGTTCTATTATAATGATATTTGGCATTTTTATCTATTTTTTGTCTCTGCCTTTCAAGTTGACTATAAATACTCTGTATTGTACTGCAACACCCTAGAAAAGCAGCCTTCTCTTTATAGATTGCCCATGTTGGTTAGGAAGGTTCAGCCAAAGCCTCTGTACAGTCGTGGGCAACATACTATGACCTAGACTATGCAAAAAATACTTAGGACTAACCACAGCTTTCTGCCTTATTAGGAATCTTTAATCCATGAAGCTGGGACACTGATTCAGTACAGCTGGGTAAATAGGCTGTATACATGATCTGTTTATGGCATGCTCACAGCATTCAGCTGCTCACTAGAAACATCCCATCCCAAACCGAATTGACATGGGTCTACATAGCTTTCAATTTTTTGGGTTGCAGAAAAATTTGCATGCTTTGGATGAAGTTTCATTCAGTAGATTTATTGGAATATTACAATGCTTGATTTGCCATATTCCTTGAAATTCTGGACTGCATTGCACAATAAGAAAACCATCTCAAACATATCCTGGATTTCTTATATTTAAAATTTGACACACTTATTTTTGCATATATATTTTTACTTATGGCTAGTTTCTGACCTTGAAACGGCTCAAAAGTTCATATCTGGTAAACAGCTCATACATCATAAATTTCAGACTGTGCTCTCCACTTGCTTCATTTAGGGCAAATACATCAAAAGACCATTTATCAACATCCTGTAGATGAGGGGAAAAGGAAAAAAAAACAAAAACAAACAAACAAACAAACAAACAAAAAAACCAACAATAAATATCCATCTGTTTAAGTAAGTTTCCACTTAATCACTGGAAATAATATTTTGGGGGTTCTTGGAGTGGAGGGAGAGAGTTTGCTGGTTATTATTGTCCAAATCTCTCAAACTCCTACTGTAGATAATACATTAATGATTATTTCAATATTAATGATGAAAATAGTTATGCCAGTTATGAATAGAGTACTTGTAACATGATGTAAGCAATTTTGTATGCTTCAAATCAAAGGCTTTAATCTTTCAAATTTAAATTTCTGCATTCAAATTTTTTATAGAACCTAGTGGAGCTAATGTGAATATCCATACTTTAAAGAGGTTATTATGTAATATCATTAACATCATAGCCATAGAGCAATTTTACAATAATATAAATGTGTTATGACGGTTTTGACTTTCAGGGAAAACTCTCAATTTTTTAATTGCATACATAGCCATAGGAACTTTACTATTGTAAAAGATTGTCTTTTGGGTGGACTATAGTAATGCCTAAATTTCACAGCAAATACTGTACTTGTTCCGTAAGCTGCAGCTTCTTTTGTTAGCTCTGTCCCAATACTACTCTTTTTTTCTTTCCTAAAAAGGAAACAAATGCTGCTGTCTGAGACACTGATTATCCTACCACTTGGAGCTGATCAAACCATGTCTCACATTTCTATAAAAATTGCTACACAAATGTAATACTATTGCTTCTAGATGAAATCATAACTAATAAGTGAAACAATAAACAGAATCACATGCTATTCGCGAATTTTCAGCTCTTATTTTGTCTGTTCTCTGTGCTCAGTTTTGTAGTACTAGCAATAGCTAGAGAACATGCAGTAGAAAAACGTTCATTCCTTCTAGAAGCCACTATACATAAATTAAAATACATTCAAATTCCACAACGATTAAACTTATTTCACCTTAAATGTTGCTATCACTTCTGCTGGGTAAGCCAAACCAACCATGCTAGAAGTTTTTCGGTACATCCTAAAAGTAAAAATAAAATATTAAGGAATAGTACTCCTTTAAAAAGTACTGAAACAATTTATGGTTTGTTTTTTTTTTTTTTAAATTCATCTATCACAGCTTGTGAAATACCACTAAGCTATTTAAGGGTCTGATACCAAAGGTGACATAAATCTTTTTATGAACTTATAAGAACAAATTTAGAGGTTTCACCTGGATTTCTGTATAGAAAAATAGAAGGATTGCAGAAATTGCAACCTAAACTCTGGCTCAAAGATTTGCTTTGCTCAAAGTTCATTCTACCTATTAAGGTATTTTCAATGACAGGCACTGTGGTTAAATGCAGTACTTGCTGTAATAAGCAAGCAAAGCTCTCACCTTTCCACAAAAATCCCAGCCTGTACAGCATGCACAATGCTTCGGAATTTGGGCTTTTCTTCAGGTCTCCTCCTCACTATTCCCATTTCCCTTGTGAACGTAGAAGCTAACCAGTCCCGCACTTCCAGCGGGACCGAATCCGACTGGATGTCAGACAGTTCATCTTCAGTGTCCAAAAGCTTCCTACAAAAAAATAATACAAGGTAACCAAGAAGATGGCAGACTGAAGCAAAAGGAGTATGGGCAGGTGAACAGCTAATAAAATTTAACAGAAGCAGAGGTTGTTTGTAGAACTGATTCAACATATCACTGAATGTCTTCTCTGGTAGAGACACTGAGGCCTGGGCTCAGAAGCTGGGCACAGCAGATATCTTCCCTCTCTCCTGACACTCATATTCTAGAAAGTAAAAGATACTCAAATGCAAGATATTCCAATAAAGGCAAGAGAAGATATTTCTACAAAGATTTCACAACTATGATGAATTGAAGTGTAAATGAAGAGTTATGAAATCCTGAGGAGACATCTAAAACAGTGGTTGACATGAACATCTATACAAAAGAGGGGTTGCTGCTGTGACAACACAAGTGGTTCATCTGACATGTTCTCCAAAATTGTACTAAAAATATTTTTATACTTACATGCAAAGTAAATGATATTACCTAGCAATAGTATGGTGAATGCATTTCAGTGAACACCCAGTATATATGCTCATCATGTTATTTCAGTACAACAGAAGTATCAAAGAGAATTCATTCCTTCTGTGTGGACATGTATATTCCTATGGAAGGCAGGGTAACAAAATCATAGCAGTACTGATATTACACAAGATTGGATTGCAAGTCAGCTTTCACAGTTCTTAGTTGCTCAAAAAGTTAGAAAAGTTGTGCATACCTCTGCAAAATAGAAAAAGTATTAAGAAGAAACTCCACTTCCACAAAAATGGAGGGTAACAGCTTATTTAGAAAAAACCTGTGACTACATAGTCCCTTAAAACAGACTCAAGACTTCAGTTCTACACTTCAATAAATCTACCAGATGTAGGAAGTAAACCTTTTTCTTGCCATTATTTGCCCGTATCACTCAGTCTGCTGAGTATTTCCATGAATCAAATCCCTTATTTAGTCAGTCAAGTTCTCCTTCAGGCAATTATGCAAGAAACACCAGTTAGGATGACTCAAACATACATAAAGAATGCCACTCTTTAAAAATGTTTAATTAAAAGTGGTACCAGTGAACTGCAGGCATTATTTGATTACATAGTTCTAATTCTCTAGTGCTGTTTTTCTGAAACTGCTTGAGTTTGTGTGAACTGGACACAAAGCAATGATGGATAAAGTATTTTTGAGAATGATTTTCTTATCAGATAATCCGCTTGTCACGTTAAAACTTGAGTCTCTTCTCCTAAGAGAATAGGATTCCTGGGAAATACATATGGTGGCAATTTGGCTAACAGCATTTGCAAATGGATATTTGAGAGAGGAACATAATCACTTCTCTATTTTCACATTGTCATCTCTGCCACTGGCTTTTCTTTTGACTCAGCACAACTCTGCTGACTCTTTCCCCTATTTGTGCACTCTCTCCTCATTTTTATTCAGCAGCTCTTTCACACCTTTCACTTTCCATGTTTCTTTTCTTCAGTGTTTTCAGAACCTTGCCTAATCCAAATCTTCTCTAGCATGTAAAAGAACTGAGCAGCAACATGGACGAACAAGAGAAGCAATACAGTTCAGTTCAAAGAAATCCCATGTAAATCTAATACTATCTAAGGGATTGTAGGAAGATGCGTAGTAGGTAACATGATGCCAGAAGTCTGATACAAATCATTGGTGAACAGTAAGTGTAGTATATTTGTGCTTCTCTGCCCTGTTCTCAGTTTCAGCAGATCACCTGGCTGGCAGCATATTTTGTGAGACTATTCAACTGGGGTTTAAAAAAAAAAAAAAATCCATAAAATGCCCCCAACACCACCACTGTTTACTGAAAGAACAGCAGAAACATTCCTGGTTTTTAGGGACATAGAATTATCAAACCAGGAAGGGTCTTCAACACAGGAGGAGCAAAATGGACAAGAATTATGAGATTTTCTGACAGTAGGACACAGTCAGTAACTTATTTTGGAGGAGCGGGACTTGTGTAGAGGAAAGGTTTTGGACAAATTGTCTTGCAAAACTGAACCAAGGCTGAGACTGGCTGTAGCTCAAAGACAATAAATTGATTTTATTCCCTAAATTAAGAACCATGTTATAGTCAACTTACATCCTTACTAGTCTAACACTGTTATTAAATACCCCTGGAGAGATCAGTGTGTTTATATTTCTGAGGAATATTTGACACTTGATTTATCTGTCATATAATCAGGAATAAATTCTATAATCCCTAAACCATATTTTGTAACTATTCTAACTGTTCCTTAAATGAGATGGAATTATTCCAGTGCTAAAAGGACCATGGGCATTAGGGTGCCTCAGAGCATGCAGCAAGGATATTCCACATCACCTGTGCAGCACCAAGCAGAGCTCTGTATCAGTTTGCTATAGTCTGATGAAGATCTGAATTTGGGACGGAGTCCTGAGCAATGCAGGTACGAGCTGCTGGAGTACAAATTCATGCTAGCAAGACACACTGTAGTTTCCCTAATCTCTTTATACATTTTTCTGTAATATAGAACTATTCAGTCTGTAATAGGAGTTCATGAAGACAGAGCAGAACAAACACTGTTACTTTAACCAGTAATTTCCATGAGACCACCACTCTCTGATGAGAGAAGACAACAACATGCTATGGGACTAAGAGTTTCAGTGTCTCTGGTTCCTACTTAAGTAACTAGAAGAGCAACTGCAACATAGAATTATGCTGTAAATGCAACCTTCTGTAGGTACACGTTCTTCCAAATCCCTCCAGACATAACCTTAGGAACTTCTCAAAAAGAATTAGTTTCTTTCAGAGCCCTAACTGAAATAACATTTAAGGAGAGGAAACAAGGGCTAGTCATTCATCTCATAACTGCCTATTTTCTAGACTTTCCTGACCTTTTGGAAAGCAGGATTTATATTGGGGAAAATTACTCATAGTATACGCATTGCTAGAAATGGCCTTTGAATAAATTCGGAAATGACTGCCATTCTTTTGTAATTACAGGGTCAGGGCTCATATACAGGTCTACCCATCTGAATAAATGGATAGTTAGATGGATATATCATTTGATGGCAATTTTATTTATGAAAGGAAATTAATCAGGTTATATGGTGCACGATAGAAACTATGCTTAATTATCACAAATTCTTCAAATCCAATACTCAACTAATTTCATGGCTTGTAGCTTTTGTCAGCTTCTATTAATCTATTTATACCTTGATTATAATATTTCCACTACATTTCCATGGCTGTTCATATATATGTCTACATACATGACATTGTGGATCCTGTGAAATACATATGATTGTTCACCACCTACTCGCTGACTGTGAAAGCACTCCTTTAACCCAAATAAAGCAAATGTATACATTGAGAACATAAAACTATCAAATAGTTTTTATCAGCAATTTTACTTACTACTTACAAAATGCACATATATATATATAAATTTTACCAGATGTAACAAAAAGAATCATCAGCAGAAGTATCACAACTTGTACATGTTAACCAGAAGTACTAACAGTGCTTCAGCATTTACCTTACAATAGTAGCTGAAATTTTTTTTCACCTAGCAACAAGCAGTTTTTGATCAGCCACCACTGTACTTTTAATATGGTTTTTGTTCCTTTCATGTTGATCCATTTTGCGTTGTTTGCTGACCCCGAGCTTATTGATGTATATCACTGCAGTGAGTGCATCAAGTAAATCACAGAGCCCTGACGTGCCTGTCCTCCTTGCTTTTACTCCTTCTGCTGCTCAGAACTTAATTCCAACTAAGGTGGACTGAGCAGATGTATTATGATGTCACTCTGATGCAATCACTTCATATTAACATACCATAATTTCTTTGAATAAATTCTACAGTACAAGGTGTTTTACAATTCCTGGGGAAAAACAACATAGCAGTCCAAAATGTATATTCAGAATATTTTTAAGTGTTTATATTACTGTTGGTCTAATTTATATCTGCTTAGAACTGACAACTTTCAAAAACTTCAGTAAAATCAGTGAATCAATAGGATGTTAACTGGTGTTTGGTTTTACCTAATTAAAGTTGTTATTGCCCAGATAAACGGAAAATTTATTTATAAATTCTGCATACTGTAATTCAACTGTTATGTAGACTTCTTGCTCTAACTTGCCACTTTATGAACCACAGGTGAATAGGCAACCGTTACAGGTGATTATTCAGGTTGTCTTTAAATTAAAAAAAAAAGAATAAAAAAAAAAAGAAAGGGAGAGATAAATTAGGATCAGAAGACAGAGTCAAAACAAAGACAAACATAGTTAAATCACTAAACTTCCTACCAAATATTACAAGGGTTTGGGCAAGATTTTACAATGTAGTTGTAAATTGTAAAATGTAATCTGTAAATTGTAATACAATTTTGCAAAATTTTGCAATATGTAAACTTTTACATAGGTTCAAAAAATTAACTGGGCAAACTAGTGAGCAAAATAGCAAGTGACCACAGCTATCAAACACAAGGTTAGAATCTCTGGCTTAGAAAATACTAGGAGTGGAGTAACTGCAAGATCCATAGCCTCATCCCCCAAAGCAACCACACTGAAGATCAGAGATGGCAGGCATTTATTTTCTATTTTAAAGCTCCATAGTTGTTCCACAAAGACAGCCTTTAACTAAAACTCTACTGAGATCAAGCCCATCCAACTGGGAGGCATGAACTTCCATATCCTAGTTGAATTAAATAAATGCTAATATATGAAGGCACACACTTTAATTTTTTCTTCCCTAAAGCTAAGCAACAGCTAAAAATCCTAATAAACACTAAAGCTCTAACACAGTGCCACAGAAAGTACTTCTTTCTGCAACACAAAGGCAGAATATCAGGGTTACATACATTTATTTTGTTCATATATCATTAGTCCATTAAGTAGATGTAACACAAGGAAAAGATATGCATAGGAAGGAGAGGGAGAGGCTTGGGGTTTTTAATTCTGTTTATTCCAGGAGTGGAACTCCCATTGACAGCTGTAGGAATAAGTAAGACACAGCCCTTGGCATTTCAGCTTAGCAGTCAAT